AGAAATAAAATGAACTTTTTTGATTTTAGCAAATGGCTGCAATGAAAAACAGAGAAAAATTTAAAGGTCTGAATACTTTCCGTACCCACTGTAAAAACACTTAAAAGCTTATTGTGGTCTGAAAATGGTTACTTACATGTGTCGGGCTGCCTCGTGTATCTTCTCTCCTCTACGCTGTTGGCACATTTCTCCGCATGTTGCAATCTTCTTGAACTCTTCCTTTCTGCAAGATGTTGCTCAAGAGCTCAAAATAGGAAGTTCACATGCTCCTCAAACGTACATCCTCAAGAAGTTTACCGGCGTAACGTGCAGAATGTTTTTCAAAACTCAGCTAACTGTCGTACGGCTGCCGCGCTCTTCTGTCTCTTGCAGGCTTTTAATAAACTTTCAAATTTCATCTGAAACTGTTGAGCTCATGTTTGATCTGCGCCCTCCCCTCCCCTCCAGGCCGGCATGTGGTTAACCCAGCCCTGTGAACAGTGAGAACACACTGCATGAACTCTAAAGTGTGAAATGCTTCACTACCACTCTATGATCATCAATGTTACACATTTTAATCTCGCAGCTCAGGAAGAAATGCAAACACTCCATCAGTCAGCGATGGTAACGTGCAGAAGATATAAATGAGAGAGACTGAGGGGTTTCACTGTCTGGTGTATCTCGTGTACATGCAGGTTGGTATGGTGGCCGCAGATGGTGTTGTTTATTGGTCAGCGTTTCCATAGCAAGTCTCATCACCTTCCTTTTACATGCAGCGGTGCCGCTCTTTCCGTTTCCTGCCAACACCGCAGTCAGCCCAGTGGCAATGACCAACACGGCTGGCATCAAATGAAACTGAAAGGGTGCAAAACCAACTAATAACCTCAATGGTGTTAGCCTGAAGAATTATCTCTTTAGATAAGGTTCTCATCATTTATTCTTTAGTTTTGAGCCATGCTAGCGGCAGATATTGGCAGTTTATTAAAAAAAAAAGAACATTTTCAGCTTTACACTGGTCAACTTTATTGCAAGATTTTTGCATTGCTTTCCAGTATGTTATACAGATGGTAATGTACTTTTTTATTTCATGATGCAACAATTCATGCTTTTTTTTTTTCCAGATAACCCAAATAGTTTCCTATGAAACTACTTAATCACACCTTATTATAGCGATTCTTGTCTTTTAATCCTTCTCGTGTTCCTGCAGCACTTAAAGGTTTAGAATCAACAGCAGAGCTGTTATGTTGTGCATGTACACAGTCTGTTGCTCCATAAGATTAAGAAGATATAAATGTTGCCTCATAAACATTGTGAGAAGAAATGATAGAAGTCAGTTCTAACCGGAGAAGGCGGTGAAAAACAATTTAAAACATTTTAGAAGTTCCACTTAACCTGCCGTTATATTTACAACTACCTCAGCTCTCCTAGCAGGAAGTTCATTCTTTGACACAGTTGATGGTTTGGAGACAATATAGCGAGTCTTGATCACACAGCCGGGCTTTTAGAAGATATTAATTACCTTTCACGCTCTGACATCTGTCAATATCAGCATTACTTCAACACCACCACCCTCTCCTGCAGTAAAATGTGTCCATGCATAGAGTTACCGGCCTCAGAAAGAAATATACAGCTGGAACAGATGTAAGCTAGTGCAACAGAAGGGAAGTAGAAGAACGTCAGTAAGGTGCAAATAAATGATAAACAGAAGCATAAAACCCAGGGACGTCAAGAGTGGGATTGTTCAGAAGAATTAAATGGAATATGAGAGCGTGACACCCAAACAAAAACCCTGGAATCATCATCTTCATCTCCCTTTAAAGGACCCACTCCACACCGACGGCAGCTTTTCTTAGAAAGGGAGCTTTTTAATAAGTTACTACTCCTCCTTCGTGGGCTCTGGTGCCACTGATGCAGCAGAGCTCACCTGGGCGGACTCTCCTTTGCTCTCGCCGGCCTTCTCCTTCTTGTCCTGGCTGTCGATCTTTGCGTGCTCCTGCTTCACCAGCTCCTCCAGCTCCTCCTGGAGGAGGGGGGGAGGGGGGAGTGATTTTAACATGACTCATGCATGGAGAAGTCCGTCCACGGTGGTGGTGACTTGCGACCACAACTTCACACAGGAAAATCATCTGTAGGTTACCTTTACAGTTCAAAAGATCTCACCTTTGTTGCTTCTGCTGCAGTTCTACAAGAACACCACAGGTGCACCTTGCACTACATTGTATATTTAGGCACATGAGTGTGGTTCCAAACAGATGCGTCTAGATGAGAGCTACTGAAGTCCAATAACTAGATATTCTGTGTCTTGATAAATAGACAATATACTAACCAAACTAAAATCATTCGTGTTCAATGAACCTCGAGGAAACAAGGATTAATTTTAAACCCAATTAAATATAAAGTAGCTTTACATTTAGAAAGATTCAATTTAAACCTCTTTAAACGTCAGTTTAATTTGTACTCCAAATCTAGATTCAATTTAATTGCACAAAAAAAACATTAAATTCCAATTTAAAATGTAATCCAGTGTAAACTTTAAACGTAGACTTGAGGCCGTTTAACTGTTTTGCTTGAGATGGATTGAACAAAATAATAATAAGCTCCTCAAAGAAAGTTAAGGGACAGACTCGACCCAGATCAGTTTTATGAGGATGCGGAATCTCTCTCAAGGAACCGGTTCAACAAGGAACCGGTTCAACAAGGAAACGGGAGGATTGGACCAACAGGAATTCTCTTTTTATTGCACTTAATGTGACAAAAGTAGTTTCCTTATTGTGCTGCTGTGCGTTCGTACACGAGATTGTGAAAACATTTTGTGGTCACGTGGTGCAGCATCTCGATTCCGTGAAGTCATTGCGCTCAGCTGTTGACCAAGAAACAGTTTCAGCACGTAGCTCCCGCTAAAGTGTGGTTTTTACTATTCTGTTGTTGAAGATTAAACAAACTGGAGACAACGTGCTGGGAGCTGGAATATACATAACTATTCATTTAATCCTAATTTAAGTTATTTTATCAACACATACAGTTCGGTGTGGTTTACATACAGTAGATGCTCCATTCTCATAATGATCCGTTCGTATGATCATTTAACGCAGCAGGACCTTCTCATGTGCACTTTATACAGTGTGGGAGGAGTCAAATCAGAAAATATGGAATGAAGCTTTAATGATGCTGTGCATCTGTAGTTTGTGTTGCAGGATATGGTGGGAGCTTAAAGTAAATTAAATGAGAGGAATGCAATCAGAGAGGAAATGAGAGGCACAACAACCTAAAACATACCCTCAGAAATTAGATCACTAAACATTAACGAGCCTATATTTTAATATTGGCCTAATTACCTCCTGACTGAAGTGATCACCATACGCTCCAAAGCCATTTGTCCTCAGAATCGCGTGATTGGTTGGTGATAAATAGCTTGTACACAACCTAGAATGAGCGGAGGATCTACGAGAGATGATCGTGTAACTCACCTTCCATCCCAACAGCTCAGCGAGAGCCAAACAGCCGTCATCACACGTACTGATGTGAGCTACGTCTCTGGAGAGAAGAAAGAAAAGGACACCGTGTTGAAACCTGGACAGAGCTCCATGCAGCTTCTTCTTTTCCAGCACTGATGCACATTCCAATATGACAACACTCTCCTCCTGGTTTTCACAAACCGGCATCACCAGAGATGACTCAACAGTTTGTCATTGGTATCGTGAATGAGCAACAATGTTTGTATTTCATGATGACCATCGAGTGATTCAGTAGTAAGTGAATTACCGAGTAACTACAAATATTAAGTATAGCAGAAAAATTGTAGTAAAGCACAAACTAAGTATTTCACTAAATGATCATCATGGACGAAGCGTTTGCACCCTCTGGTGGTACAAAGATGAACTGCATGTTTTACACACAATACACGAACATTATTAATACATCATTTATTACTGATCATTTTGGCTCAGTTGATCAATATTTAAAAACTCTTTATTCTTTCTCCTATTTATCTGATCCAGTGTATTTGATCAGATTCAGATCAGATGTGTATTTCTGCTATCGGATGTAAGTTGTAACGGGAGGACAAAGGTAAAGATGGTAAAACGGTTGCAGAGAAGAAGAAGCAGCAGCATCTCTGTATCACCTGTACGCCTTGTCTGAGTCAAAGTCCATCCCTCCTCCAAAACCCAGCAACCCAAACAGAGGATCGGCCTGCAAGAAATCCAAGAAATACATCGATGACGGAAAGAAAAGAGTTTGGATAAAAGGTCAGGAAACTGTTTGTGGAGGGATGAAGGCTCACCTGCCCGGCCTTCTCCATGTTAATGAGCAGACGGGGGCAACTTTTTGAAACCCTAAATGACAAAGAAACACAGCAGAGAAAATAAATCCACAGTAAGTGTGGTAAATGTGGGTGAGAGGGCGTCTCAGCATCACGCTCAAAAGAAACTGCAACAAAGACTATATCTGGAATCAAGCCTGAATCGTTCATAATGCAGGCAGCTCGACTGCAGTACACTGCCACATTCTGACTGCAGCAGTGTCTATGGTCAGCAGTAGATGTCAGGAACATGGAACTTGATCTGCATTACCTGCCGACGAGACCTGCAAACGGTTGGACCTGCAGAGACGTCCCCATGATGAGGAGGAGATCACAGCGAGGGAAGTCCTGACGGGTAAAGGAAGATGGAGGGGCGGGTTTATTTCTGCAGAGGGGTTACATCACATTCTCTTCAAACATGCACGCAAACCACCACCGTGTGCTCACCATCTTCATTGATGTGAAGAACCGGACGGGTAGACTCTCTCCGAAGAAGACGATATCTAGGGGAAGAGGAGAAAGGGACTTAGAGATACCGAGATGATTGGTGACACAATTATCTAGCAGTCATGTTTGTAAAGTAAGAAAAAGGTTCAGAAAGGTCGGCGGAGACAAAGATCCACTGACCTGGCTTCACCAAACTGCTGCACTTGTCACAGCGAGGAATGTCTTCAGAAAAGATTTGATCTGCAAAGCAAGAGGACGATGTTAAAGTCAAACAACTCAACATTCCCAGGCTCTCTAAAGACCAACACAAGCAAAAGGCACCTCTCATCCAGTCCAGGTCGTACTCCTTGCGGCATGAGAAGCTCACGCAGTGGGATGTGTAGAACGTTCCATGAGCTTCTATCAGATCATCTCCCTCCAGCCCGGCCACACGCTCCAGAGTGTCGATGTTCTGAATGAACATACACATAGAAACGTCGATACAGAAACAGACAGATTAAATATACAGTAAGGGAAGCGGAGACTCTTTCTGACCTGTGTGTAGCAGCGTCTCAGGTGCCCTTTGTCCTTCAGCAGCTTCATGAAGTAGTGACAGATTGTCGGCTACACACCAAAATAAAAAAAAAGTAGTGAGGACAATCACATATAAGGCAGCTGATAGTTTTCTTAAGTAACATTTTCAGCCTGAATATTCAAATATGTTTGAGTTTTCAACACTCAATATGAGACCTACAAGGCAGCAACAAGGGTTTCGTACCTTAAACTGTCCTGGGTACAGCTCCTTGGCCAAGGCAAAGAAAGGCTCTGGATGTTTCTGAGAAAGAAGATGCAGCAACATCTTACATGTTATTGAAGCAACAGTGAAGAGTGTCTCAAATCATAAAGAGCAGGATGGTCTTCAGACGACTGTACAAGTGTATCCTGTGTAGTGTTTTTGTTTCCGAGTTGAGGTTATGAGTTTTTTTCTTAAAAGTGACAACCTAAAAGCGGCATATTCATGGTATTACACCACATGAAAACAAAGGACCAAGAGGCTGACTTCTTAGCTAAATCTTTGATCTTAAATAAACATATAAAGGTTCCATTATTGTGTCTAACAATTTGTCAAAACTGTCAAGGTTTCCTGTGAAAGCTGTTGTAAAGTGTCCTTCACTGGTGTCATTCTTCAAACATTCAAACATAGCAGTCGTTCGCTCACCTTAAAGTAATCTATCTGGAAGATGGCCTCCGGGTAAGGGAGGTTATATTTTAGCAGGTTTGCGTACAGGCCGGTTCCTGGTGAGCGGAAATCAGGGATCCCAGCCGCTGTGGGAGGAAATGATGTGGACAGTTACAGATTAAACTAGTTTGATACTTTAAAAACAATCATTTTGTGATATTTCAAACTGAGATACTCACATGTGGATATTCCTGCCCCAACCATGCAGATGATGTTTTTACCTGTGAGGACGCAGAGATCAATAAATAAGTGCTTTATTACAACAGGCGTGTAAAGCAGTGAATAAATCCACTATGGTCAGCCATTATGAACGAGCTGACCAGAAAGCAGGCAAAGACTCACATTTGCCGCTCTTTATGTACTGCGCCACTCCGTCCAGAGTCAGCTCGTCCAGAACTTTGTCTGCCGAGCCGAGACCCAGGGTGCTGGAGAAGAGGTTACGCAGGAAGTCCACTGAGGGAAACACGAAGATGACGACGCATTCAAGAGTAAACACAGCACTGTGTATGCAGGTAGAAATCAATAACAAGAGACTCAACTTTAAAATAAAATGTATTCATGAATAATAAATGAATGTGCGCAGTGCATCTACAGAATGATGACTGGTGTATGAGACACATCACATTAACAGGGTAATAATAAGACAGATTAACTGAACTGTAAAAGAGCATACATTTCTATTAAAGTTTCAGATGCATCATTGTTTTCCACATACTCTCTGTGTCTCCTGCAGCCTCTTCCCCACTGCTGTCGTCGGATTGGTCCTACAAAAGACACAACACATGACGTGTATATGACATTTAAAGCAGCGACTCTACGGGATGAGCCTGTTGTGAATGGCTGCTCTCTTTAACAGACGACGGCTTTGTTTGGAAAGGCGACCTCATCTAACGTCACTCTCTCTGCTAACACTCACCAGCTAATGTTGGTATCACAACAGCAGATAGAAATAGTTTCTCACCTCTGGTTCAGGCGTAGCCTCCTCTTCTTCTTCTTCTTTAGGAAGTGCTAGAAATGCAAAATGAAATACCACGTCAAACTCAACAAATGCGTCTCAGTGTGACGAGTTAGCATTAAAACTAGCTAGCTAAACTAGCTAGCACCGTCTGACTGAAAGTTGTGATTTAATTTAACAAATCAGACTTCCTACCTGATGCATCAGACATTTATCCTTCTACTGAGTCCCTTCAACCACAAGGGTAAGGATGGCAATTATTTTAAATCCCAGATATTACGAAGTTACGACAGGTATCTACTGCAGCGAGCACTGGGCTGGATCTTCTTGTTGTTGTCCGTCAGAAACACTGTCCGTGTTCCTTGTGACCCAATAGGTTCCTACCACTAATGTCATCCTAAAACTCTAAACTCACAGCGAATAAACACGGATGACATGAGAATTGATAACTTTATCGTAGGCACTAGTACCCAACATGAGGTGTGAAGTAAAATTAGCTCATAACGAGTTCTGTTCACATCAAAACTGGCAACCAAATCATTGCAGATGACATCTTCACATACAAAAGTATCAGTGATTTCTTCATCCACATCCACTCTTCGTCTCCCAGTCTTACTGGTGTGTCTTCATCCCACTGTAGAGTCCGACACTGCAGCAGAACAAGGCTCATACTGGATTACGGGCTTTAGTTTCCTCACATAAGCCTCCACTGTGAAGATTAGAACATCCATGCAGACACACAAAGACGTGTCGCCACATGGTTCTCATTGTCAAACAAGACTTGTGAATTCCTAAAAGGTAGTACATTTGCAATAAACATATTAAAAACTAAAATCTTTATTCTGCACATTTACATTCCAGCAAATAAAACAACATTTACCACATTTACAGACAAAGCTTAATTTCCTTGAAAAAGAGCTGATTTTGCATTTACATCATACATGTGTACAGTCGAGACAACAAGTTGATTCTGGGGTGGAAACAACACGAGCAGACTGTGATGACATGTATTGTATTTTACATTTCAAAGACAAATGATCCAACAAACTTCTTCCACACTTACAGTATTTTTTTTCGTTTTTCGCATGCTCATGTCTAGTTGGACGTTGACAGTGTAAATCAAATACGAGTCTATAACTAGTTCATGCTTTGAAGCTACTTTTACAAAGTGAACAAATGGTGGAATTTCCAGGTCCGTCATGTGATGCCCTATTGGCCCAAAAATACTTTTTCCCATAGACTGAGTAGGGAAAGAGACGTCTGTAACTCAGTGGATATTTCTTTTTAAAAAAGGTAAATACACTTCCCGGTGAGAACACATGATCAGCCCTTATTTAAATCATAAGGTCCTAAAAGTTGTAAAAATCCAGAGATATTTCCTTCGTCCGTTCATATGAATGAGTCCGAGAACAAGGCTGGGAGGCGGGATCAACCAAATTGATCCGAACCAGAAAATAAGCTGTGATGGTTGAATTGCTGCAAGATGTTTTCTCTACATGTCTTTCAGGTTCTCTCTCAGAGGACTCTCTCTTTCCGAACACAGTCTCTTGACTCCTCTGACTCCCGTTCCTGCCCGTTCCCTACCTCCTCTGCCCTTGCTCTTCCATCTCCTCTCCTTCCTCCTGCCTCAGGCTGTGGTCGTAGCCGGTAGCGATGATCTGGCAGTGCGGTAACATCTCCTCCAGCAGGATGACGACCAACCCAGGACTCGAGATCCGAGGGAGGGACGACACGTCCAGACGCCGCAGTCCCCTACCACACACAAAAAGAGAGGAACTTAATACAAATGTACTGTTTTGAAAACACCAACTCGTTGTAAGTGTTTGGATACTTACTTGAGATTCTTGAGTGCGGACAGGCCACCTATAGTGATGTGAGGGCAATGAGAGATGTCCAGTTCCTCCAGAGAGTCCTGGAACACATGGAGCCTGGCCAGGAACCAGTCGTCCACTTCAGGACACCCTCGTACTGACAGAGTCCGCAAAGATTTCTGCCCCTCTGAGAGACGACAAAGCAGATCAAAAACACTGGACACGCCTGCTAAATATAGTAAAAAACAGTGCACGTGTCTGACAGATAGAAAGGTCGGTTACAGTAAAGCAAAAGTGATTTTTAAAAAGGAAATAAATTATCAGAAAAACAAAAAACAAGGCTGATTTGGAGCTCATTACTCAGGTTCCCCAGTCCGCTGTAGTTGATGACCGTGTAGCTCATGTTCACTTCCTCTAGCGGTGTGTCTTTGTGAGTCAAGAAGTCCCAGTTGAATTTGCCTCTCCGGTCTGCACGGAACCAGTCTGACTGGCCAACATACCTGATGATCACATGACAACCGGATCACAGCGGCACATTTCAGACATGGCTATTGAATTGTCATCTCTGCTGCATTATTACAGATTATATACAACAACACGTCACAACGAGACCCCAACGATGCAAAAGAAAACAACTTAATATGATAATAAACGCCAGGAAAAAACTGTTATGGTATGAGTTCCAAGAAGTAAACATTAACCCCCCCCCCCCCCCCATCAATTAGTCAGTCAACAGAAAATTAATAAACTAATCTAATAATTGGTTATTTGTCTTTTTTTTTTTTTTAAAAGGCAAAACTGCAAACAAAGTATTTATAGTGCGAGGGTTTTCTGCTTTTCTGTTTCACATCAGGTACATTCAAAATGTTGAGGCTTTGGACCGTTCGTACAAAACCGAGCATTTCAGGATGCCACCTTGGTAACTTTTGATGGGTATTTTCCACAAGTTTTGGACATGTTATAAACCAAACCGTTAATAGATTGAATTATCTGAATTGGCAAATCAATCAGTGATGAAAATAATAGTTACTTGCAGCCTTGCGTGAAAGCTTCACTGCAGCGTGCTTGCGTGAAATTAGCTCAAACAGGAAAACAAATCAAACCCCTAAACAGGTTCAGCTGTCAGGATAATTTTAAGAGTTGTAATAAAATATTATGTGTGATCAGTATATACTATATATATATATATATATATATGGCAAACAGTAGAGAGACAAGGTAGCAGGGCACTTACCTAAATCCTCCCCTCAGACTCAAGATATAATACGCTGCTGCTATGTCTGCGCCATATAAACCCCGAGTGTAGCCGAAGTATCTGTGAGAGACAAGAAATAAATCAGTGATGGTTAAATATCTACAGTAAATGGACAGCACCTTGTCACACCCATTATTTCTGAGAATTGTACTATTCCTATGAGATGGGCGGATGATACCGAAGCTTGCATAAACTCAATACACTGAGAGAGAGCTTGTGTCAAATGAGACACCACGTGATTGATGGCGCACAAAACTGTAAAACGGCACTGGTGCTTCAGTTTTAAATTTAACTTTATGATCGGCACATTAGCCGGATAAAAAGAGGAGAAAAATTGAGACGTGGTGACGTAGGCTAGAAATACATCACCATACATCGTGTGCTTACAAACTCGTGCAAAATAATTTTTTGACAAAGCATTATTAATTATTTTACTGCAACATGTTGCACAATACCATCTACATACGACGCAGTGCAGCTGATGTAAATATTGCATATTTCATAATATCATGCAGGCCTGTTGAACTTTTACTGCAAACACTCAAGACTAAACACATTTAAAATCAGGAAGGTGTTGCACAAAACTTTGAACTTTTTTCAGCCCAATAGAAAGAAAGCTTCACGATACTACACAAAACAGCCAAAAAGGTTTCTCACGCGTTCCTCCTCTGGATCCCCTTCCTCCTCTGCTGAGACCCCCAGCTGAGGAGCATCTCTACGTCATAGAAACGCTGGGTGAGGAAGAGGAGGAATCTCGTGTGCAGAGGAGGAGAGGACGCCGAGCTCGAGCTCCACGGTCGCCTTGCAACCACAAGGAGAGTCGACCGTTGGCAACATCTGCGTAGAGTCTGTACGGAGAGACACATTCAATACAAACCCAAAATAAAGCTTTAATAGGACGACTAATACAGCGTTACACCGTTAAACTTCAGCTAACAGCTACATGCAGCGTGTTAAAGTCCTCTAGCAGATTACTAACAACACCACACACATTCAGCTTAACGTTATACTGAGCGTGTACTCTGGCGTTTAAAAAGAGCAAGTGAAATATTGTTAAATCTGCTCTAAACTGTAATAATAAGCCAAAATTTGAAGGGTAACTCACCATAAAGAAGGCCGCCATGACAGAGGCGTTCAACGGAAAGTCGTAAAGGACAAACGTTGCAGTTTTGCATTTTAAAAGCAGTTGCTGTTCACCATGTCAGCCGCTAAGTGTCGCTGTACGCACGTCTTTGACGCCGAGCAGAGTAACCTGACCTGACCCAAGAGACACGAATGAGAAGGAGTCTCCCACACCGGTGGAGGAGCACACAAACATCTCTGGTTATTATGGTCGTCGGTAATAAAGGATATAAAAAACAATTCAGAAAGTCTGTGCAATTTTTTTCAGATCATACTGTAATGACCAGGTGGTCATTTTACTTGTTCACATGATCAAAGACAGCAAAATAGAGTTCATTGAAATCATGTTTGGCAGAATTAAGGTGAATCAGTGTCCAACAAGTCAACGTGGAGGTAGTAAAATTAAACTTTAGACATTTAAAAGCACAATGCCTTAAATTATACGAAAAACATCCCCAGTATTAAAACTGAAAACACACGATAGGACCCTGCAACACTCTCAAACTGTCTGACTGACTGCACTACAGGAAGTAATATTGAATAATAACTTTGCATTTATAACCATACGTTTTTACATTTTTCTGGTGTTGCTGAAGGTTCATTTGCATCACTATCAAAACTAATTAAAATGTCATGTTAAGACCCTTAATGTAACAGGGATTGCTCTCCTGTTAGGACACTACATCAGCAACAGCGTGCACCTGGACCAGGAGCTGGACATCCCAGATGAGCGCTGGCTCCAATAGAAATGATTCTGTGTTTTTTCATTTAATCTCAGGATCATTGTGATTTTTTGTGGTTGAAACAAACAAAAATGAGATCTACGTTTGAATGCTTGAGTTGAACACTTCTGCTGCCTGTTTGGTCAGCGGCTGTGACTCCTACAAATCATGTTCATACACTCCTGATTTCTAATGCAAAGACATTTTGTGTGGACTAAATGCAACCCAGATTACACGTTCTTTAAATCAACATGATGAAAGAACTTGTTGATTGGAAGTATCTGCAAAGTTACAAGATGTTTAGTCTACACTGAACATATTTAGTATCGCCCCGTAAGTACAGCACAATACACCTTTTTCATGCATTTTAGAAACAATTACGACTTACTGGAGGTTAAAGAGACACTTTTTTTGTTGACAATATATATATATTAAAAAAAACAAACCAAAACAGATAGAAATAACAAAAAATCAACAAAAATAGAATAATTGTTCAACAACAGCTCAGCAGCTATTATGCAATCAAACTTCATCTTAGCTTTTTCCAAACATATTCTCCTGTTAAACCTGTGTCTTGTCTATGATAGCAATCAGGTTGTGACAATAAAACCTTGAATTTAAGAATATGAATCGACTATAGTTTGCCAGAAGAAGATAAAAACACTGATGTATCACTGCTGAAACATGTTCCCCTAGAATAGATATTTCAGCTCACTCTTGATTGGTGCAGAATAAATCATGCACTAACCAAATCAATCACCTCAAGGTGGCAGCCAACCATTTCAGTCTGCTGTAAGTGTGTGTTGTATTAAATCTCCGGGCCAATTTTCATTCAATTTTCCTCCAAGCACTGTCTGGTCTCCTCTCCACAGGGAGAGAAGACGACTTGAAACTCTGCTCGCATGACAGATGTGTCACTGAAAAACAAGCATACCCACTCTGCTAGTGTCACCATCTCACACACACACACACGCACACACACACACACATGCATACACCTCCCAGAGATCTGGCACTCACAGTGAGCGTGATATGACAGACGGCTCACACCTGCTGGTGAAAACAATTAATAAATGAGATCTCGGCTTTGGTGTGTTTGTAGAGGACCGGCAGAGAAAAGAAGCAGCAGTGGATGGTGAGACAAACAGAGGGGTTCATTGATGTAGTGATCGGTTATGTTCAGTTGGTTCAAACTGCACAACATACTGTCAGAACAAAATGTAAATGTTTTACTGTAAAACCATGAACAATTCTACACACGTATCACATCTAAAAGGAGGGTCACGACATGCTAAATTAATCAGGAAAACTGTTTGCAAGTCATGAGCTGCTTGGTTTTAGTTAGAGAGAATGACAAAAGGGTTAACAAGATGGAGGAAAAGGCAGTGGGAGATTCAAAGTCTGTGTGGTCCGTGTTGGAGCCTGAGCAAATCACAATGGTTGAAGGGTTGAAGGGTTGGTTGAATGAACACATGGACCAATGAAGTTAAGAGTGACTGGCAGAGGGAATGAATGAATCGATAAATGCTGGAATAGATGGATTGCCTACTGGACCAGAATTCTAATGCTCTAACAGCACTGACAGATAGAGAATGTTTGTATTGTCTGTGTATGTGTGTGTGTGTGTGTGTGTGTGTTTCTATGCAGGTACGTTTGTGGGGGCTCACGTGGGTCTCGACTCCGACACTGAAATTGATGATGATCGATTCGGATCCGTTTGAGCTTCAGAGATTAAATATTCTGCACGCAGCTCCGGTTGGACACACCTCAAAACAAATCGATGTTCATCAGGTTGAGATGACAAGTTATTTTTTTAATATCAACCCCCAAGAATATTCATATGTTTAGATCAAAAGCATATCTGTTTGAAATTCACCGTACTGTGTTGTTGTTTCTCTCATATCATTTACATGTGTTTTGATGCACTGTATTCACATCCCCCATATGTTTGTTCACACTCATGAATTTTTGATTGTGTCTTAATGGACCTTTGAAAAACGAACCGTACAGTAGCTTAAAGTCTACAATAGGTGGTTATTTTGTGCCATAAATAGAAATTATTTTCTATTTAATGTTGACATAAGCAGAAGCTTTAATGTAGTAGCTTTACCACATTAAATATCACCAACAGTAATGTTCAAAAGCCAAGAACAGGTTTGTTTTGATGGGTTACTGGAGGGGTAAGCGTTACATCCAAAACGCAGCAATCCAGTTTCTCACAACTGGGCAATTAGGACTTTGATAACGCAGCAAAACCAGAGTAGAGGAGGATTGTGACTTTTTTCCGCAGACAATTTTAAGTTACATTAATTTCCTTTGACTTTTAACTATTTTTTCACTCAATTGCACAACGTTTTTTCTGTCCTCAAGAGAAACACATGCCTGATTCTGATATTAGAAACCCATTTTTGCCACCTACAATCTCACTAAATTCCCGGACATTTATAAGATTGAACAACTTCAATTTCAGTGTTATTATATTTATGGACGGCAGGGAAATATAATATAGGATCACGGGTTCTTAAGTTTAAAAGACATTTAGTCTTATCTGCATTCAGTGAATGTTAGAGGTTATGTCTGAAGAACATTAAAGTCAGATTGTAATCCAGATGTGGCTTGAGTTCGAGAAGAGCCAAGCGTGTGAAGGATTGCATCATCTGCATAATAATAATGCAGAGTAATAATATTGTTTTGGACGATTTTAAATAGCAATGGACCCAGCAAGGATCCCTGCGGTACCCCCTCGGTTGTTAAAAAGGAGTCTGATGTGAGACAAATCCGTTCCGAGCACGATCATCCAAACCATGACAGCGTGAAATCAACAAATTACGCGAAATTAATGGAAAAATAATTGGCAGATCAATCAATTATGAAAATAATAGTTTGTTGTAGCCCTAGGGGATAATGTGCAATGTCATTTTTCTACTCCGCCGCCCTCAAATCCAGTTTAAAATGGAGTCCTATACATTCATATAAATCCATTATCCCTTTCTTGTAAGCGGGAAGAGGCAGAACTACTTCCACAGTCTTGTTAGCAGATGAAGACTGAGGTTTCCTAATAGCTGCTCCCCTGTGGCGCCCCACTTTTTTACTGAGAGTTGGTGTAAGTGATGGCCCTGTGGGAAACCATTAGCCAGTGCTGTCTCTCTCTTTCTCTCTCTCTCTCTCTCTCTCTCTCTCTCTCTCTCTCTCTCTCTCTGCCCCCATGTCTTCCCTTCTGTTTTTGCAGAGATGTGGTAAACACACACAATCCTCACATGCACAAACCTCTGCAGCAATCTCAAGACCGTTAGCAGCTGTCAGGGTTGTTTTGTTTTGACCAGCTCCCATAAGGCCAGTGTGGAGTCTGCAAATCTCTACAGTAGCGGCAAAGAAGCCGTTAGTGGACGTTATTCGTACTGGGCCCGTTGTGTTCACGCTCACATTGAGGGACAGTCACTGGGAGGACGACCGGAGGCCACAAAGGCCACGACAAGCAAACAAATGACTGAATCCATGTTTAAAATTAAGATAGAAATTGATTTAGTTTACTTCATATTCGTGCAAATATACATGTAAATCACCTAAATGGAAAATGTGATACCAAATATGATTTAATATACGTACAGAGTTGTCATGAATAAACCAATTTTCTCACAATATACCCTAATTGACTTACACACACAAACAAACACACACACCTTCCGTAATTAAGTGTGCATTCCTTTGCTGCACTATTAATGTGATGTGTGTCCTCTTATCTTTTGTACATTCGCTCATTATTCAGACACCTTTGGGTACTGCTCGTGTGTGTGTGTGTGTGTGTGTGTGTGCCTGAACAAGAGCACATAATCATCGTCTTGTTATCTCTCTTCCACACATCTGTACTAATTTCCATTGACAGAATTAATTACAGAGGTGACGAACAGCCCAGCGACCAAACCCCAAATGTCACACACGCCTTGAGTTACACAGCACCGTTATCTTGTAGGGAGATGTTGCTTAAAATAGCACGGCAGCCAAAAATAGCATAAGCTGGCGGAGCATGTCATGGGATAGAGACCGCGGCGACCTGTAATTTCTGATGCATCTAAAATCCCCGCTCTTCACTCAAGATCTTCATGTAGTGTCTGCACACATAGTATACTGCACTGACACAGAAATCGGGGTCATGCACATGCAGATGGAGATGAAGATGAAGGATGCAGGCTGCTTCCCTTTGGAGATCAATACTCTCCCGTGTGTGAATGAGCAGCTCGAGTGTGGATGTGCAGCATATAAAGAAAAAGCAGAGGGTTAGGGTTGGGTTTTCCTC